TTGAACTTGAGCAACTAAGTCATATAGACAACTGTTGAACTTGAGCAACTAAGTCATATAGACAATTCTTGAACTTGAGCAACTAAGTCATAAAGACAATTCTTGAACTTGAGCAACTAAGTCATATAGACAATTGTCTTTTGGACGTTTGGAGTGGCTCTTGGTCCGTCACTCTTTCGACGTTTGCTCCGTCACTCTTCGCGCTGTACTACGTCGCTCCTCGAGCTCTAGCACTGCGTCCCGCTGCGCGCGCGGCAGCTGGGCCAAGCGCCGCTCGGCGCGCCGCAGCGCGGCGTCGGAGGCGTCGAAGCGAAGCACGGGCCGCTCCTGGGCGGGAGAGAGGCGCAGTTGCTGGGAATTCAACGGGAAGTCCACATGGGAAAAGGAATGAAAAGGAATCAGTTTCCAGATTCAGAACCTGATTCCGATGTTTTTTTGGATCCCATGTTTATCTGGCAATCTGAGAATCTGGATCTCGTATAATGGGCTGCTGGAGGTTGGCTGACGACTTTATTCGGTCGTCGAACTGGGATGGATCAGTTATCATCGAATGGTCCAATTGAAAGGCATGGAGTTGATCGTTGATAGACCTATACCCAGAGACCCCAAAAAAGGTGTTGTTACTTTGGACCCTAAGGGGTGGTTAATAGACACGCCCTGAAACACCTATTGGCACCCCTTAGGGTCTCCTGGTAGTGGATATGTTATAGAAGGACTAAAGAAGATGTTCGTCATTTCACGACGTTTTGGTTCTCAGGAACTTCAACATGTTCTACAATTTCATGATTTCCAATTTTGCAAGAGAGTTGCTATGAGTTGCTAAATGTTGCTAACCTTTTAGGTCCTTGATGAGCCACCGCACATGTCATGGTCAAATTGACCAATGGCTCAATGGCCCCTTTCTTGTTTGAGACATTGTGAGACCATGGTTCAATGCCTGGCCAAGCACCTATGGTATACATTGGATGCCGGATGCCTCTTTTGATCTGGCATCTTCCTGTTGTAGTTCTTGAGCTCGGCAGTTTATAACAAATTGATGGCGTACGATTGGTACTTCCTAATTTAATATGTATGTTTTTCATGCTGCTGTATTCACTTCTTTCACTCCATAAAACATCATAACACGTACTCAATATACTTTAGACATCCACAAACCAAAGCGGGCACATGCGGGCACTGTTCGTCAGTGCCAAAGCTGACCTCGCGTGAATGGCAGCTCCGAGCTCCGAGGCTCCGCGAGGACCAGCTCGCCCGGCTCCAAGTCTTTTAAGGACAAGGTGCCGAGGCCGCAGCCGAAGACCTCCTTGGAGCGTTCCGACGCGAAGACAAGCAGGGCGAACATCTGAGGGTGGAACCAACAGTATCCTGTGGAGCCAACAAGGCTGTGACTTCGAATGACGGGCTGAATTCCCAAGGCCCGGGTAAGCAAACCCAGTAGACCTGTGAACTCCCTCTGTGGAGATGTGGGAGGGACCTGATGTTTTGTTCCGACCGACTTCGATGCTCTTCCACTCAAAATTGTCAGGCATTTTATTGAAATTTATTGAACACACATATAGCATCTGAGTGTTTCCCTCTAGAAACATCAGCTCTGTGAAAAGCTCGCCCATCTCCATCGAAACCTTCGCGTCACGACCCTTGACCCACCCAAGCGTCGACCACCTCCAGCGTCACATCGCTCGACCTGCGAGACGACGAGCCAAGGGTCGCGTCGCTGGTCGCGTCGACAGGTCCGTATGGACCGGTCGGGGGATTCTCTCCGACCATCGGTCCGTGGGAGGTCTGAAACCGAGTCTTCTTTGCTATCTGAGAGGATGGACAGCTGGACAGTGGTGAAGAACCTTTGAACGATGGTCGGTCAGTGCAGCGCATGATGGTGAATGAAGGCCGGTTGCTTAAAGGAATGGTTCGGAATGATTAAAAATCTTTTAACGACAGCTATACTGGTTTGCTGGGACACACCCTCTGTCTGTATATAACTACTACTCAGATGGGATTCACATGAACAGTGGATATCTGATATAATATGGCATCCCCACATCAGTGGCAAACAGTCATAGGGACTCTAAGTGATTCTAAGAGACTCAAGGATTTTTGGTCAGAAGGGCCCTATCATGCCGTAGCTCCCCTCTCACATAACCGGATGATGGGACAGTGGGTCCAACTGTTCTGCTTTCGTTGTTTTAACCATGGAGGGGAATACATGCGTGTTTTGATGGTTGCTGACAAATATGTATATATATATAACCCAAACACCATAAGGAATAACTATCGCAAGCATCGTGGTAAACACTGTTCAAAAAGTGGAGCAAACAAGATTCATGCCGGGATAGCTTTCGTTGTTTTAACCATGGAGGGGAATACATCCGTGTTTTGATGGTTGCTGACAAATATGTATATATATATAACCCAAACACCATAAGGAATAACTATCGCAAGCATCGTGGTAAACACTCTTCCAAAAGTGGACCAAACAAGATTCATCCCGGGATATCAACACTGTTGGAGTTTTGAACCGTAACTCTGAACAAACCCTGTTGATTTTCCGGTTCAGTGTCTTTGTTGTTGCATGAATTTTCATGAATCTTCCACTTGAACAATACTATTGCGCAGACTCACATGACTCACCGGACAGGACACTCCCGCTCCCAGCGCACCTCGCTTCGCCCCTGGGCTCCGTCCCCGGCGACCGCCGCGCGGCGCGCGGCGTGCGGCGCGCCGCCGCGGAGCCGAGGGCCGTGACGGCGACGGCGACGGCCGTGCCTCGGCCTGGGAGACCAGTCTTAAGCTCCAAAGTGCGAAGCCTCTGATGTTGACCTTTAACATAAACTGCTATCATCTGCTAACCTTTGCATAAACTCAATGAAGGCATAAGCTTTATGTCTCTTGGAGATCAAGAACCGCGGAACCGAATGGCACGGAGTTCTGCTTTACCAGCTCAGTGGGACGCCTCCGAGCGGCTCGAACCACCGGGAGGGGTTTTCTGTACTGTTTCAACCGGGGTTCCAAGATACGACGCCCCGAAGGATTGCAGGGTCCTTTTCATGAGTCTCATTCGTGTACGATGCCAATACCTGGGGCCTCCAAGGACCTCAGCAAACAATTAGCATTTAAGGAAGCTCTTTTTATTAGTCTAAACCTCTACAGTGGAGCTGCACTGCAGCGCTGCAATCATGCCCGGTTCGTAGCTTCTTGTAGCAATAGCTGCTAGTAGCAATGTCAGGAGCTACTAATAGCTTCTTGCTCCTAGTAGCGATGCCCTGAGGCAAGGAGATTTTACTAGTAGCTTCTTGTTACTAGTAATGCCAGGAGCTACGCAGCGATGCCCTAAATCTTCCATTCGGGTCCGACCTCGATTTGTTTGAGCAAAAAAAGTTGATAGGTGGAGGTACTGTCCTGACTCCTAATGTGGAATGCTTAAGAAATATATACACACATATATATACATATATATATATATTATAAATATGTTATATATATAATATACACCCACATATACACATGCAGCAACGAAAACTCCAACATACAAACTGCTACAGCATGCGATCATTCAAAGCTGGATGAAACATCTCCCAACTCCCAACATATCCCCAAAACTATACACCCTACATGTATATATATCTATAAGCTTGGGAGGTGCACACCCCAGTCGTGTCGGGTTAGACTGCAGAGTGAACCCTCCGCACCTGCCAAGCGCTGCCGGCGGTGCGCTGCACCCGAGGCGGGGAGGTGCGGAGCGTTCACCGGAGCTGTGATGCGCGGGGAGCGCCATGGGCGCATGGAGCAACGAGTTCGAACGGGCAAGTGGTGTGGAGAAAACATCCCACGCATAGCGGCTGTAGACCAAGGCAGGGGGGGTCCTTTAGGTCTGACCAAGGCCCCAAGGATACTCTACAGACTGCTTACTATATCTGTGCTTTCTTCGACGAGATCGGTACCTTCCTCGGAGCTTTGGTTGTTTTTCTCTCACTGCACGGCGGTGAACACTCGGGGTGTTTCCCTTGGTGGGTCCCAGGTCCTAACGGACCCAGCGCGGAGACGTCTTAGGCAACTTCAAACTGATTCAGTTCTAAGACTCTCACGCAAGAATGAATTGAATGCGCAGAATGAGTTTTTTCTAAGACTCTCTTGGCATTTCTTAGGCAACTTCTGTGTATGTTGCAACAACATTACGTTTTCCAAGCACAAGTCTGTGGTCCCCATTGCGGTGCTTGATCTATCAGCTGAAGCCTGGATTGACCAGTTCCAGTATGCTTCTTGATTCTGGACACCTGTGATCCAACATGAGAACCTCTGCTGTGAGTGATGTGATTGGGAGAATAGTGGGAAGGACTTGATTTATTGTTAGAATCAGTGCTTCGACTGTTTGGTAACGCTATCGCAGCTCTACTACTCAGCTGCCGAACCATACAATTATGCGGATTCAGTGTCAAGACCAAGCAAGCAATGAAATGCAACAATTCGCTGCTTGCCAAGAAAATTATGACTTCCAAAACATGGCTTGACTCGTCGCTTCGTGTCGGAAGGAATGGAACAAACACTTGTCTAATGCCTGGGGAACTGATGTATGCCTTAACTAATCTTAAATCGTTATTTCTTTCCTTAACTCATAAGACAGCTTGTTGTCTCTTGAGCCCTACTCATCTTAAATCCACTTTAAAAAAATACTTAAAGGACAAAAACACCAGTTCGAAGGACTCATGCCCTCCGGAGCCTCCGGCTCATACACCTGGAAGGTGGTCGCGTGTTCTTCCCACCCAGTGAGTACACAGCAAGCGCATCACATAGCATGAAAACCAGCAAGAAATCCTCACACAAACAACCCAAGTACGTCAACCTCTGCCACGTCTGAAGACAAAGGCTCAAATACTTCCAAATACTTGGGACCTGAGACACATCAGGTCTCCAACACCCCACGGAAGAACTGTCTCTTGGAGAACCACCCGAACCGTTTCTCCCAACCGTTTCGCACGACGACGTCACGTCGCGATGGCTCGGATGAAACAGCGACCAGCTTGGCGCAACCAGCTGGATGGCTGGACCGGTCTGGTGGATGGTGGGTGACGGTGGAATTCGCACGTTGACCTTGCTGTTTTAAACACTCGTGTCAGCTGTTCACTGCAAAGTCTAAATTGTATATGTCTATAGGTTCAATATTTTTTTGTCCATCCAGCACCTTTGCTTTGGATTCTGCATATACCTTTATACATAGCACCTTTGCTTGTTCGCTTTGTTTGCTTGTTGAGCGATATATGGAGCGTTCTTCGTCGCTTTGCTTGTTCGTCTCAAGAGGTGAACACACTTGTTCGACCTGGTTCGGTCGGAACCCCAGGACCCGTTCAGCGAAATGAGGGGGTCCAGGTTTTGACTCGCAACATGGACTTCAGCGCCGGGCTACGAGAACACGCAGGTCTTCTGCGTGCGCCCCAGTCCTCTTGCGGCTGCTTGCGGCTGCGAAATGGCCAACTCAGCTGGGATCCTGTTGCGAGCTGTGTCTGGTGCAATGGTTGGGCAGGTCCAGTGGAGTGTGACAAATATCTGTGTGCCTGGACTCCGATGAATACCTAAGGTTTTGGGGACGCGAATTGAGAATAGTTCAACAAGAAAAGACCCTCTTGACCAAAGGCTGCACCCTTCCAAGAAAATGCATGCGAACTCCACGCGAACCCCCCTGTGCCCCATGCATTTTCAGTGACCCATGTTGGCTTGCCCACTGGTCTGCTCCACAGGGCGTTCAGTTTGACCTGGGGCCCTTCCCCTCCAAAAAAAGACCTCGTCTCCGCGCGCGCTTGCGCGTCTTTTTTTGCGATTGGGCAGTTTCCAACCGTTTCGCCAGCGGCCTGGAGCTGCCAAAGCAGAAACAAAGAAGCATGTTACGATGCCCGGGCGTGACGATGAAATTGTGCATCTGCCTCTTGGATCCCAGTTGGTACCTATTCATGTCGAATCGTTCAACCTACAATGCCCCCACGCACTTGCGGCTTCATATGGGGGGGAGTATCTGGGGGTATCGATCAAGAGTTGTTTTCATGTTGCTTTGGAGCGATTCCCCGTCTGAACGTCTGGCTTCGCCAGATCCCGACGATTCAACGCGGCGGAGCCACGGTGTGGAGCCACACGGTGTGGCAAAAAGAGACGAGCTGGGTGGTCTTTGAGCAGCAAACAAAAGAAAGCTACAGTTAGTATAGATCAGATCAACATAGAACAATATCCACCTCAAATCCGGGGGATTTGCGTTTTGTGGGGGGATCGTACTAGGTATATGACAGGGCTATGATCCATTGTAGACTGTTGATCAATAAGATCCCCCATATGGAGAGGTTTTACAGATCCACATGTGGGGTTTCATCAACAGTCAATCTACAGTAAATACTCATATGGAGTAGTCGGACCCTCATATGGAGGAGTCCTTGGTCCCTCAAATCCCTAGGTTTTGAGGGACCAAGGACTGTTTGGAGCGTCTGGATGCGTCTGGGTGGTAGATAGAAAAGTAGATCCCCACAAAAAATCCATTGGACACCGTGCCACTATCTGATTTGGGGACCACTATACTGCCAACTTCTGACTGTCTAAGTGGCATTTGGTGCGCCCTTCTGCCCTTCTGAGCGTGCCTTTCAGTTAGTCGCCAACGCGGAGCAGTCGTGGCGTTCCAGCTGATATATCGATGTTTGCCAAACATGGGATCACATATATTATACTCTTCAATGTTTAGATATGGAAGGGGCATGGATTTCTGAATATATACGTGTTATGCAAGGTTTGAAATAACAGATGCATATAATATGTATTAGATATATATAATATATTATATTATATAAAATTCATTCTACAGAGATCTACTATAGGCCGCCCATGTATCTGGCTGATTCCGCCGGACGTACCCAGCTCGTGGGCCCTCCGTTGATCCGCCCGGAGATGGGGCGGGCTGACGCGGACGGAGAAGCCGATTCCGACGAGAACACGGATTCCAGGCTGTGCAAAGATCACGGCGTAGACGCAAAAGGATGGGTATTTGGATGCGTTTGGAAATGTCTCTTGGGCAGTGTGGTCACATGTCACGTGTGGTCACAAGCCTGTGATTCTTGCTGGTACGATTCGAGAAAAGAACAGCCGCTGAGCCATTCGTAAGCCTTGAAAACCAAAATGCAAGCTCCAAGCAGAATCAACACTTAGTTTGAACAATGCAAGCAAAGGGCTCCCAAGGCTTCATCTCACTGAAGTGAACAGTGCAAGGGTCACATTGTCCAAAAGCACGGCCAAACAGTGATCCAGAATGGATGGCATCTCGAAGCCATCAACAAGTCTTTGGACTGCTATCTTGGGGGCCCCAAGGCATGAATCACTTGCAGGCCGCCAGGCCATCCCCCAAAAGTTGTGATTTACTGGATTGACGCGATTTACATTCACTGGAATTCTTCCGGCCATCCTGGTTCACTGGAACACAAAGCTCTCGAGCTCCAAAGCACCACCTCGGACGGTCGAGAGCGGGTCGAGAGCGGCCGTGAGGGATCTCGGGATCTCGAAGAGTCTCGAAGTGTGGGAAAAATCGAGCTGAACGAGCTGAACAAGCTGGGTGATATAAATTGGTTGTTGGAATATAAGAATCGAAATACCCACTGCGTGTTCATTTTGGTGGACCAGGCAGGGTATTTCAATACATATGTCGATATATTTTAGTGAAGCAAGTGCCGAACACAATGACAGCCCCTGAAAAAACGAAGCAAAGAAAAGGCTCTAAAACATGTTGGGTTGCTTGAAGTGGTCAGTAGTTCCAAGTCAGTTTGATGTTTCAAGCAATTTCAATCATGACTTTCATTATCAAGTAATAGAACCAAATAACACCACAGTATCTCCGTTGTGTCCTTCATGGTTTCAGTCGCACCCCAAACAATCACAATGACAATGACCCAATATCATCAGTGCAGAACCAATCACTGACACTGACACGAGATATTTGTGTGTGTATTAAAATAGGGAGACCTCCCAAAGACCCTCTGGAACAAAGAAAGTAGACTAAAGACCATTGATTGGGAGGTCCTGTTTGGACACGGTGTTAATAACTGACCATCATATCAGTCGACGGATAACCCATACGCACCGAAAATCACAGCGACGGCGACACCGGTTCCAACTCTCTGCGCGGAAAATCGAAAGCCCACGAGCGCCGGTGAGAAGAACCGAAGCAAGCGGAAGGTTGTGTTTTCTCAACTGGTACATTATCTAAAGATAAATTCCACAGCTTCAAGTTGGCGCATCCCAGTTGTGTATTTGTGCATATTTATGCATATTTGAGCATTTGTTCAACTTTGGGAAGAGCAGTTGGAATTTTCTGTTGCTGGTTTCTTTGCCCAAAACGGTCGACATCTGCACGCTCGTGCTAGCAAGTTCCCCAACGCCGGCCCGGTGCATCCACGAACAGCTTGTTTTAGACCTGTGCAAGGTGAGGGCTTGACAAACCAAGAACCTGCAGGGTGGAAAGGGGGATTCTGGATGAAAATAATACTGGCCTCCACGAAGCGCGGGTCATGAGGGTTAAAATGTAGGGCCCCTACGAAAAAACACCTGGAACTGCAACATGTGCTTCCTCCACTCAAGAGTGAGACCTGGACTTCGAGCGAAGCGAAGCGTGGTTGAGCTGAGACTTGACATGTATGGCTGCACATCTCGGACAAACGTCGGGGCTGGATTGGATTTTGTATCAGAAAACGGTCCATGAACATGCAGTGTTGGGTCCACTGCCGCTGCTGGTTCTATAGTGTTGGGATTCGGGAAGTGGGTTTGCTGTGGTACAAGTCTTCATGGAACAAACATGAAATAACAAATTGTTGGAGTTCTCTGCTTGATGCACCTTAAGATTTTAGGACTTCGATGGAATTTGCCAAACACTTGGACCATTGACAAGATCCATCAACAATCTACTATTTATTTTGTGTAGGTATATAACGGTATATATCCAAGTTTTGCTGCACCTCAGCCCTTCTTCCATCAGACAAACAAAAAAATATTGAGATTTGCCCTGATTTGCTCCAAAACTTGCTCCCCCAAAAATAGACGCACGACAAAACACGACACAAAACATCACAAAACGACACACGACACCCAAACGGTTCCTCCTTCGGGTGAGCTCCAAACCGAATTCGGCCTTCGCGATGGCCACGCCGCGCAGGGTGGGCACCGGCCGAACCTGCGCGAGCGCAGCACCCTCGATATGTTTGTTTTTATTTGTGAACAAACTTGCATCTTCTCAACCTTCATGTGGTCTTCTACCATCTCATGAGCTCCTGACGGTTCTCGTATAGTTCTTTAAAGTGTGAATTTTAATCTTCGGTATAGGTTTATTTTTATATACGATTATACAGTATATATCTGTCACGGTGAAGTTGTCTTTTGTGAGGATTCCGGTCAAGGTCCAGCAAGTTCTGAGAACAGTGCCGGATAACTAACAATCCAGTCATGCACAAGCAATTCAGTGGCTCTCATCCGATCCTGGGAGGTAGCTCTGGGTGTACTCGACTTGCGACGAACCAAGGGCCACCTGGCAAAACAAAAGGAGCCCGACGTGGCATTCAACAAAATGGAGTATACCTGGAGCCTCAAAGTACCTCAGAACATGAATGAGTGCAAGGACCTGCTTTCCTTTTTCCCCAAACGTCTTTGCTGTGAGGGGTTCTCAATTCTTGCATAGAAACGATGCTGGGCCAAGATGATTCCCGCCCTTTGTCTCTCCTTGTCTCCCCTTGTCTCGCATGGTGTGTCTGGATGCTGGACTGGGATCACTTTGCTTTGTCTCTCCTTGTCTCCCATGGCATGTCTGGATGCTGGGCGGAGATTTGGTGCCAGGAATGGGTCGGCCAAAAAAGAAAACTCCGACTGCCGCTGCTTTTTTGGGGTCGATGCTGGTGTAATTCTTTCAATAGGGTTATGTCCCGCTTTCTAGGCTACGAACGAAGTCGGGTGCAGGTATGGGTTCTCAAATGGATGCATGGATGGACGGACAGACGATTTCATGCTCACCAACCTTCTTGGCTAGCCATCCCAGTCGTGGTGATTCATCATGGGACTTTGCCAAAACTCATCGTGGGACTAAAGCGAACAGTTCGGAGGGGGTTAGGTACAAAGCATCTGGCAGTGGGTTTAAAAGCATCGAACACCTTCGTCAAGCTATACCCGCATACACAGGTCGTTCGCGTTTCGAAGGTGTGGTGTTGGGGCTCCAGGTGCATCCAGGATCCATCCTTAGGTGTTCTTCGTTCTTCGGTCCAACGCCGAACGCATCCGACTTGAACCGGTCGACCGGCGCCCAAACTCGCTGACAGCGGACCATGCAGTGGGACGACGTCCAAAGCAGTATCCAAAGCATTCACCCTGATTCGTTGACAAGTCCCAAAGCTCTACAGATCAGGTCCAGTGAACACACTGAACACACGACTTCTGGCAGAACGAATGATCCTGGCGGAACGCTAAAGTCGAAGCAGCGGAAGAGTTCCACTTCCACGATCCTCTCATGTTTGTTGGGTCTCCATTTGTGATATACATACTCTTACATACCGCCTAATTACTGTCATGCTGTCGAGTTGTCTTTGCTAGGTTCCAAACCTCAGACCTCACCAAACATCCAAACTTTGTCACTGCGATGTGGGCGCCTCTGATCTTCAGACGGTGGCTGCACCGCCTGTGGCTGACATGTCGGTGCTCACCGGACGTCGGACAAGGCAGAAAGGAGCCGACTCAGCCGACCATTTGGAAGCCTGTCCTTTCGGAGATCATTCTCACTCACCCGCAAGTTCAATCAAAATCATCTCCTCTATCTATGTAGTATATAGGAGATTATAGGAGCTTCCTGATTGCTGACCCAGTGCCATTGGTCAGATTTGGTGCGGAACCTGCTGGGAACATTCCTGAAACTCATAGAAGTAAATGCAAAGATTGAAATCCTAAAGGCATAGCTGACGGAAGCTGCAGCCTTTAGGCAACTGGAGATATGCTAGCACCGCTTAGATCTACAGTATCCGTTTATAAAACCCATTTGCCCTAATTACTTGGTTTGGTACCCTCGTGACGAAGGTCACCGTGGATTACCCCGTTGTTTTGCTTTGTCTTCGTTGGAGGAAACAGACCCCTCAATGGGTTCCGGGGAACCATTAAGAGAAGGGGACTTCACAAATCTTCACACATATCTGAAAACTATATCGTAAGATAGTATCAGGAACACCAAGTACGTCTTTCCCTCTTTGATAAGTCTTCAGCCAACGAGTTTCTCATTTCACCTGAGCGCCGGCACAACGCGGTGCAGCATGTGACCCATGAAGTCGCAGCGAACGCCAGCGAAGCGCTGCTGTCAAACATCCAATGACAACACTCCTGAAGCAAACCACCCTACACAGGTCACCTTACCCCTAAGGGATCCATGGTGGGGGGTTGGCAGGGTTTGGGGCTAACTCATAATCACAGGTCACCTTACCCATCACACAAAAACATGCCACCGAGCCAAGGACATGAGACCGCTGAGTAGCCAAGTGACATTGCGTGTCTTGTACCTGCAACTGCAACGAAGAACATCGACGGATTGTTGCAGCTTCTGATTTGGAAGGTATTCAAAGGAGTGTATCTGCACAGCACCCCGAAAGCAGGATAAATTCTTCTCGGATGCTTCAAAAAAGCTCTTGAAAGTACAAGGACATTGGGACAACAACAATATATTTGGATCAACCATCGCTGTGTCAAACAACTAAAGGCGTAAGCACACCATTGCTCGGACACCCTGAATGGCAGGCCTTTTCCCACGAAGGGATTCAATCAATTTTTCCTGCTGTGTAGATGGTTGTGGATTGATACCAAAGCTCACCTCGCGGACTCTCCAATCCAGCACGTTCTGCCAAGATTTCAGGATCTTTGGTAGTTATTTTTTTCACGCAACTCGAAACCCAAGTTAAATGGCGGCATGCATAGCCCTTTTCGAGCAGTTCAGGAGGCGGGGACTTAACATATCACTCACACATGCATGGAGTACACATTAGGTAACTACTTCTTCCCAGTTCCGCAACACAATGGGTGGGTCTTGCTTGGAAATAGGAACTTCCCATCTAGTGGAAGAAACAAGTAAAACACAAGCCTAATGGTTGGGTGATGTTGGGTGGACCCCATGCCAAACTCATCGAGTGCCCAGCAAAGATCAGCAAACCAAAAATCACCCTCCACCACTTCTGCCAAGGCGTACCCAGACCATGCATCCACGTGATAGAGCAAAGGCTTCTTGGACTTCACCACCTGGAAGCTGATTTCATCAGCTGTGCGCTGATCGAGCTTCGGGGGAACCTGAAGGTCAACCTTTTTCCATCTCACTGAGGGACTGGACTGAGCTCTGAGGATCAGGACGGAACGGTTCGTGGGTCCGACGAGCGACGAGCGACACGTCCACTCCCGGTCTTCTCACGAGCGCCGTGGAGCGCTTGGATCGTCGAGGCTGTCGCCCGCATGCGGACCCTGCAGCGGGTTCCTCAACGCTCGATACTACGCTCGATGTCTGGGTGTAGCACTTGAGGCTCGAAAGAAGAATGCTGTTGTGCCAAGAAAATCATGGGTATGCTGTGGTGTTCCAAGTGTTTATAGCGTGGGACATCACAATGACAGGTGCATAACACCTTGCAACAACTTGGATCCCATCGACGTTCCTGTTTTTTGTTCAGAGGTCATTGCTACCTTCAACTACTGAGGGCTGAGGGCTCCAAATTAACATCGTCCTGAATCGCCCCCACCACAAAAAAAGAACCAACCATCCCGTTTCCCGGATGTTGCGGTCCTTGTTCAATTTCTCTTCGCAGCAGGGTGCTGCTGAGTTCACCCCCACCTGCGAACCGGCACCCAGGCCCTTTCAGGCCAGTTCCGGGAGTCAAAACGCCCGACGAAGCCGAACCGAATTCGGACGACAACCGGAGTCGAAGCGTTGTAAGGTCAGAGAGGGAACCGCCGTGAACGATGTATTTTTGATCGACATGGAGTAATCTGACAGGTTTTTCAGGTGGAGACCACTCACTGAGTCGGCGTTCGAAAGCCAAAGGCTTAAGGAGAAGTGATCGCACAGGTGAAACGTTGGGACTCATGGAAACCATCTCGCTCTGTACATCGGACTGACTAGCGGAGGGGACTGGTGGAAGCGACCAGTGCTTCAGCGAAATGGATCTTAGACCGCTGGAGCACCGGAGGTGTTCCGTCCGCGACAAACAACTACCAAGCGGTTACCAAGCACCGCCGTCTTTTAGACCCAGGTTCAAAAGATCTCACAGCCTCCCATTCGTCCCATTTCACGATTTTGGTGGTTTCTCTATCAGAAAAGCCACTTTCGGAACCTGCCACGAACGGAGCCCTGAAGTTACCGGCTCTGGATTGTGGGTTTTTTCTTCCCTCAAGGCGCGACGGTGGGAAGAAGCGGGTGCAATACAGTAACGGATAGCCTGCTCATCACTGGTCGGAGTAGTAGAAGGACATTTGTTATCCACATCACATGCAAACGAAAACGCCGGGCCCCCCTTTTCCATCTTTAGGGTGCTTGGGAGTGCTTGGGGGTCCAAAAAGGGGGACTGATCAGGTTCTGAGATCCAATTGCCTTCTCAAACTGTAGCTGGACGTTGCCCAGAAACCATCCCCAGCTGTGGAGCGCGAGGTCGGTTCCCATTTCAAATGTGATTGATCATGGCTTGTTCATGGTTTGTTCAGTCACATCCCAAATCCTCACGCCATCCTCCACATCCTCAATCATCCTCGCACCATTCCCACCGCTTTTTCCGCTGGACCGCCGCCGCCCGCGTGTGTGACACCCCTACCCCCCGGACCCCGCCTTGATGCCACCGCCCGGCAGGTCTACCTTGGATCAAAGGGCCGCCGAAAGGGGCGGGATCCTGGGATTCTCCTAGGTCGGTCGAATTCCCAACACGAGCTACGTGGGAAGAGGATCTGGTCAAGCCCATTGGTTCGGTGTGGGGAGATACGGGAAGGCGACAGGATGGGTCGTGGAAACAACGACAGTTTGATGCGACCGATCTGTTGCCGACATCTGTTGTTTCACAGAAATAACTTATAAGCAACCATGCGACCAGGTGTTCTTTTCCACACCAGCTGTGTCGAAACCGCAGTGGGGCGGTGCACTGGGCGGTGCATGGTCGTGCAATGTTGTGCACGGCGGAGTTCTGAAAGGTGCTCTGAAAGGCATCCGCATCGCAGCGATGCCAAGCAATCCGTTCGCTGCTAGACCGCCGATACCACAAAAAAAAAAACAACATTTGAGGCTGGTCCTGGTGGCATCCTGCAATCAGTACTGCCTGGGATAAATTAATCCCTTTTGGAAAAAGGAAGCGTTCAGAGATGGGCCAGTGTCTTCATTGCAGGAATCCCTTTAAAATCAGAAATACCTTTAATATTGCACAGGAAAGCCTTCGACGAGCTGCTGTGATCTCAACACCAAAAAACACTCAACCGCCTGGGAATCAACAGCCGTTCCAGAACAAATCCCAAGAAGTCCAACAAAGTCTCTATTTGGGAGATTCAGGTTGACCAACAACTATCGAATTTAAAGTAAAACAAACCACACATGACTTCATAATTATTGACTTTGTTGGGGAGTCTCTTAAACTATCTGCTTCACTTCTGTTCTATTCCTGAACTAAACGCAAAAAAACACACATAACGCAATGATTTTATGCCTTCAGTTTTTGTGGAATCTTTCGATGCAATACCCGTGCCAGTTTTCACCTCGCTGCAATACCCGCACCAAGAAACCGAGTAGACACCCCCCTCGTTCGAGCGGATCCGACCTGAGATCTGAGGGAAGCAGCTTTGAGCGGCTTAAACATTCATTCTACGAGTATGTCCTTTCAATACATGGGGGTCGAATGTGTGGGTGTCTCCCTCTTTGACAGGCCGATACACTCTGACACACGAAGATTTATACAAGTTGAAAATGGTCCTGAAAGGAAGACGGCTTTCCTTTGCAAACAGGGGGTTGATCCTTCTATGTTGAGTCAGAGTGGCATGGTGTATTGGAACAAAAGACTCTGCTGGCCCACTGGGTTCCAGTATCATGCACATGGTAGTTTAACCATCATTCGTGTTAAATCTTCTGCCGGAGCGGCTGAGACGAAAATAACCTGAGTTGATGACCATACCGGACCATACCCCACCACAGCATCAGTACTCACATCTTTGGATGATCAAAGATGCTCATGATCTCCATTGAATGCCACAGTAGTTCACAGGGAACAAGGGCCTAGGGGTCCTCTATAGTCCTCGTCTGAAGGCTCCGCGTCCTTACTTCCGACGAGTCCGTGTCAGTAGGCATAAATCCACATCGTCTGACAACAGAAATCTTGGACACACACACACACACCGCTGTTGGGCTGCGGGTTTTTTGCGACAGTTTTAGGGGTTTTTTGCAACGGTGAGGTGTGAGAGGGTTTTTTTGCGATGGTGACCGCAGAAAGGGTTTTCTGTGACAGTACTGTCCGCAGGGGGTTTTTTTGCGACGGTGTGGCGAGGGTTTTTTGCGAGGGATAGAGAGGTGGCAAGCGTTTGTGGGGGTTTTCTGCGACGGTAACCGGGGTTTTTTGCGACGGTAGCGCGTGGACGGGGTTTTCTGCAACGGTAAGCGGGGTTTTTTGTGACAGTAAGGGTCTCGAGGCGACGGTACTATAGTAGTAGGACGACGACGACTACTACTACTACCACTTCTACTTCTACTTCTTACTACCACTACTACTACTACTACTACTACGACTACTACCACTACTACTACTACCACCACTACTACTACTACTACGACTACTACTTCTACTTGTTGCTACTACTACTACTACTACTACTACTAGTACGACGACTACTACTACTATTACTACTACTAGGACTACGACGACGACTACTATACTACTATACTGCTACTACGACTACGACAACCAGTACGACGAATAGTATATTAAGACTACTAACTGCTAGAACGAGTATACTACTTGGTGGTTCATTTTTGGCTAGGGAACTTGTAAGTATCTTGTAAGTGGTTGGTAACTTAGTTACGAAGGGGTTACAAGTTCTGTAACTAGCACAAGTTTTTATGTTAAGATGTGGCACTTGCAAGTTAGTTAGCAAAAGTTAGAAATTTCTAAGTTCTATATCTAGATTATCAAAAACTAGTCAAAAATAAGTTGTAACTAACTTAGGGAACTTAACTTTTTTGAGATAGAAAATTTCAAGTTTTTCTAATTTACACCAAAACTGATCTAATCGTGTTTTTTTCGCACTTTGATTCTTAAACTTGAAATCGAGTTCATGCTCCGATCGCATGTTCATCACGCAGCTCACTGAGCCGTATGCCGTCTTGTCATGGTCATGGCTGACTCATGATGGATGTTGCTCCTGTATAAAAAACATGCGGCTCATTGAGCCGCAGGTTGTGTCTCTTGCGAAAAAATATACATTGAACCGCGTGCCATCTTGAGCAGATGATGGATGTCGCTCTTGTTTCAATAATAGACCTGCGGCTCATTGAGCCGCAGGTCGGGTCTCACGCACTAAGCCATTTGCCTTCATCTTTCGCCATGCCTCATAGGCATCAACCACCATCTCCGCCGTGTAGGTCTCCGGCCGATTGGACAGCAGGATGGTCCCGTCCGCCAGGATGCAAAACCCGCAAGGTGGCCGCATTGCCTCCAGCTGCTCAGCATACGCCATCCTCCTAGGCTGCACAGGCTCCATCTTCAGCAGTACCGGCAGCTGAGGACGCGTCGCATGAGCAGCACACACTTGGAGCCAGCAAACGCCAGCAAACAAAAAGCATTGTTGCACTCAATCAGCAAAGCTCTCAATCAGCAAAACTTAAATCCTGACTCCTGGATTTTTTAAAAAAAGTCAGGGAGTCAGGAAATGTCTAAACTCATGAGGTGGTGGGGTTGGCAACTCTGAGAAATGAATTCTATTTGATAAAAGCTCATCGCATGACAAGCAAAATGCTTAAAATTCAGAAATTGAATTTATACATTTTTATACATGTATAAATCGATTTCGTTATCAATTTATACATGTATAAATTGAAAATGGGGTGATTTATACATGTATAAATTGATATTTTTTTGATTTATACATGTATAAATTTAGGTCCGCTTTGATTTATACATTTTTATACATTTTTATACATTTGTGATTCCGTGATATGTGAAAACAATCGGCTAGTCAAATTTTATGTGTGTGAAAGTTGTTGGTCAGCAACCCGAATATTTAGATATATCAGGTGAAGCTATGGTAGTTCTGTTTTGATTGGTTCAATGGCAAATGAATCAAGGTTTATGTTTGATGCATTGCTTTTCAAGGACTAGTACTTTTGGTACAGGACCCTTTGCATAAGGTCCAGAGTATATGGTATTTTCCACTGGGGCCGCCAGCCAACCTAGATCTAGCCCATCAATTGACCAACACATCTGGGCGGGCCGCCAGCCAACCTAGATCTAGCCCATCAATTGACCACCAGCCAACCTATATGTAACCCCTGTATATTTTTCAAACGGTTGAGCTGAATCAAGCTGAAGAAACAATCATTGAACATCAGTTGCCATTGAAGTTCAAAGAGCAAGAGCAGTTTTGGTAGACATGACCAGCCTGTGCGCAGAACATGTTCGGATGAGCGTGGCCAACATCATGGTTGTCATGCCTTGGTTTGAGAAAGATGCAGACTTCCAGCCTGAGGTGTTGAGGGAGTGTTTGCTATGGCTGCGCTTCATGCGGTCTGACACGAAGGCACGTGGATCTGCAAACGAACACTTAGTTTTTCTCACAGCTGCCTGCCCATCTCAAGACGAAAATTTAGGTTTTCTATATATTTTTTAAAAAAACTTGTCTGAGACTATACTTTTGGTCGCCCAGGAACTTACAGAACTTATAAGTTAGTTACAAGTAATTTATACAACTTACGGTTATAATTAAAAAACTAATAAAACCTAAGTTCCCTAAGTACTACTTACAAGTTGCTTAAGTCCTATAAGTGTCTTAACTAAGTTGCAAGGGCCACAAGTAAAAACGAACCACCAAGTACTCCTTGGATTTCACTTGTACCACCAGACTGCATATCGTGGCGCAAGACGTCGGCAATGTGGAAGACAGTTGCCAGTTGACAAGCGTTATCCCTCAGCGCCTCTTGGCTTCTCTGCCACGGCAAGGCGGACGCTGGGCAGAGAAGAAAAACTGTGCGTACGCAGGCGTCGCACCCCACCCTGGCGATGAGCAGGTAACCTGGCGAGCGCAAACAGCGAGCGACAAAGCAGAACAGAGTGAGCAGAACACTTGGAAACAATGGCGGCCACGCCACGTTAGAAGAAAGACCTGGCAGCCACTCCAGTGGAACGAAAGCACGAGCTACGAGATTGGTGCGCTGTCAGCGCTCATACAAGAAGATACCAGAATCGGCGAGAGGACAAAAGAAAAAGCATAGATTTCTTTTTGAGCGTCAGTATATCTTGCGTCAGACACCGCAGCGTCTTTTGCGCGGGGGCGCGTCCGATTTGGTGGGACGGCCCGTGCGTTTTCTGCTGCTAGGCAATGCGGTCAGAATCACAGGCGGCTGTGGGAAATTCGGAAGGCCGAGACTGCGAAGAAAAGTGGAAGGCTCACATTGTGCATGCATAGCAGCTGCCGGGCAAGAGCATAGAATAGAGGTGGGTCGAACCTTCAAGTACGCGACGTGCTCAAAATGAAATTTGAACGACTGTAAGCACAAGTTTCCATCAGGAGTGAACAGGTCAGGCAAGCTCCGGGCACTCAAAGTAGCTGGGTGGATCAACACTTGCAAGACTTTCAAAGTAAGGGCGCGGTTCAGTGGCGAAACTGCGGCTGCGCTGGCGAAAGCAACCCAGGAACAATCATTGCACTGCTGCAAGACATAGAGGTCGGTAGGGGCCAATTTGGCAAAGTTGGCGGCGCAAGTGCGCCCAGCCCGTGTGAGCGCAGCGCCATTCACCAATTGTGGATCTTGAGTGGGCGGAATAGAGGCCAGCGGGGTGGAAGCTGTCCACGAATACCAATGCTGCCAGTGATCTGTGTACAGCTTTTGCAACACATGAAGCGCATGGCCAATGTTTCCGCGGCCGCCAAGTTGGTTCAATTCCCGTTGCCAGGAAGAGTGGATGGCCTCGGCAGGCTCACTGCCACTACCAGATCCTGGCAGAATACCATCAAACCCAACCCAGAAGCTTAAAGATGATGTCGGGAGAATGGTGGCCTTGGAAGATGGCTGGCATAGGCCGCTCATATAATTCTGCAACCAATCGGCCAGGGTGGGTTCACCGAGACGCCGAAGGGTTGCGAGGAACGTTTTCCACAGCCAACTGAAAAGAGGTAAGGTCGGAACGAAGCGAAGGATGTTAATGACCTCCAAAGCAAAATGCACGTATTTCTTAACAAACTTCCCTTTTCGCGAGACCAGCTGCTGGCATTTTGCTTGCATAATAGTGTGCGATTTTTCCTTGAAGTGAAAGAAATCGTCACACAGTCAGGAAAGCGGCCAGATATGGCGACGAGCTTCTTCGATGCTCGGGTGGAAATCTTTGTGCAACTGCAAACTCATCTGCTGCTGTTGTTGGGATGCCTCGCTGTCCAAAGGTCATAACAAGCGTCAAACAAGTTGACATAGTTCGCCTTTGTCTCAGCATAAAAAATTGCTTGCATGCCATGTGAAGTCCAAGCACTGCTCTGCGTGCGGCAGCCTGCGCCCATTTTTGGCAAATGGGTTCGGCGTAGCTCATCTTTCACCAGCAAGCTCAAAGTCGCAACGCCCATG